GGGCAGCCTGTGCCAGGGCTCTGGCACCCTCACACTCAGGAAGTTCCTCCTCACATGCAGATGGAACTGCCTGGGTTTCAACTTGTACCCATTGCCCCTTGTCCTGTCACTGGCCACCACTGAGAAGAGCTTGGCCCCTTCCTCCCTACATTCCCCCTTCAGGTACTTATACATGTTAATCAGATCCCCTCTCAGCCTTCTCTTCTCCGGAGTTGGGGCTGTGTGAGTGCCAGCCAGGGTGCAGGGCTGCTGGGTCCTTGTGCCCCTGGGTCAGTTCAGTGTTTCACATACCGATTTTATGAGTTGCCTTCTGGAAGTCATTGTGGAACTCAACAACTAGTTTAGACTAGTTGTTCTGATGGCCAAAGTTCAGTGCATTAAGCTGTGAATTAAACACTTGAGCTCTGTATTTTGGGTTCTCCATATCTTCAGGAAAAAAAATGTGCAGCTTTGTGAGCTTTGTGTGAATTTTGTTTTTCATCCTATGGTTAGAGTCACTGATGAAAGGTATTTGATGTAACTAGGCCTTAAGTAGGTATATAACACAAAGCCCAGGAGAGTGTGACTTCCTGACTGTAGAGCAGGGCACTCTAACAGTGGACATGGTAGAGAAGTTTAATTAGGCCTCATTTTTGCCATGATTTTAGTTCTTCGGTTGTGTTTGGCACTCCTGTTCATGTTTTAGTGATGGATGTGTGCCCAAAACAATAGAGCCAAAAAGAATAATGGTGTAAAGTCCTGGCTAATACACTAGTCATTTTCCAAAGAGATAAGGATTCATGTCCCAGCTGCACGGAAAATAGCAGTTTTCCTCTCTGGACTCTTGTGGGGCCAGGATTTACTCGGTAAGAATCAGTCTGTGCCTCATTAGCTTCTTGCGGCATCCATGAAAGCTTAAAATTTTTACTAAATATTAACATTCAGGTGTGACTAAGAGATATGCTGATGGACTACCAAAAGCTAAATATTTCTTTCTTTCTTTAATCAAATTATACTGCCTTTTCCAGATCTGATTCAAAGTTTATTCCAAGCCGTCTTAAAGTACACGTTTCAATTTGATGTTTCTTTAATTGCCAGAGTTTGTGTGGGTTGTGTTTTTGTTGGGTTTTTTTTCCTTTTAATTTTTGCTTTGTGTAAGTCATACAAATGTTTTCAAAACATGAGCCCAATTGGCTTTAGGCAGCTGTGATTTTGTGAAAATGAAAAAAAAAGGTTCCATCAGTGTCAGAAAGCTTCCTTCTCTCTATCTTGAGATGCAGCAGTTGGGTTTTATCTTGCTGTTAATCAACTCTTGTTTAATCAACTCTTGTTTGCTCTCTTTAGGAGATGGCTGTCCGAGCACTGAAGCAGACAGGGAGCAGAAGTATTGAGGCAGCTCTGGAGTATATCAGTAAAATGGGCTACTTGGACCCTAGAAATGAGCAGATAGTCCGTGTGATTAAGCAGACCTCACCAGGTAAGCCCAAATTTCTTCTATGTTGTATGCTTTCTTCTTGTAAAAAACCTCAAGGTATAATCATGAATTGAGTTTACTGAATGCAAGTGATTTCCACACAGCAAATTTCCTATCTCAGTCACCTCAGTAGCATCTTCCTTCTTAGATCCTGATCAAATTGAAGATTCGTTTTGGAAAACACATTGAATTTGGGAAAGTTGACAGAGAGGCATGGCGAGAAATGAGTAAAGCTGGAGAAGAAAGTGCCTGTCCAGTTTACAAATAAAAATGCCTGGAAAGTGTTTTCTTCAGTACAGCCACTTCTTTTCTATTTTTTTTTTTCATAAAAAGATCCAGGGGCAGCCACATACAGAGAAAAGGGAAATGGGCTTAATTTTCAAAGTTGCACTCCTAAGAATGGAGCTGCAAATGTAGTGGCAAATGGTGCCTGGTGGTTTGTAGGGAGCAGCTCCACTACCGTTTCTACCAGTCACAGGTTTTCTGTTGTATTATTTGAGGAAATTTTGGAAAAGCCTGAGAAGATGTTTCCTGAAGTTTTATCCTTTCAAGTAGAAGAGCTTTTGGGATGGTTAGAATGCAAAACCTTACAAGGCTCTCTGGAAACTTCATCTGCAGTCTGAGAGTTGAAAACTTTTGCTTTTGCATTCCCTAGGCTGGTATATGCAAACTTTAATAGTAAAGCTCACAAGAATATTAGTGTACAGCCAGGACTCAAGTAAAACCAGATATTACTGTGGGACACAGTATATAAAATAGAAAATATAAAAGTAGTTTATCCTATGACTACAGTCAGTGAAACACATGCTTATATAAAACCGTTCACAGGGTAGAGACACAGCCACAGTATTTGTTGTGTTGCATAGAGATGTGTGAACAAAAAAATCATTTGCAACTAGCACATCTGGTATCTTTGCAGATCCAAAATGTTTCTCGGTCAGACCAGAATAGACTTAGTGGTATACAAATCTAGGAGATGGAGGTCATGTCTCCCTTGGTATCATCAAAATTACTTGTGCAGCTGTAATATGTCTCCCAGAGGGGGACAGTTATTGCTGCTACTTTTGTTCGTGGCTTCTGGTAGGGGAGAACAAACCCAGTGTGAATCCTGCCGACAGAGAGACATTTCCAGGCCAGAGTCATGGCGTTTTAGGGTGCCTTGGATCAACACAACCTCATCAGTTCATCTCACTGTGCCTGGCTTATGAGGGCAGTGCTGTTGTTACAGTCATGGTGAGCTGGCCCTTGTGGTGTGACAAGCAAGAGAGCTGCAGATTGTAGCCTTTGCCTCAAAGAGCAGGGATTTGGGTGTCTTTCTCAATGTGGTGATGACGTTTTTCCTTAGTGCGGGGACAGCAGCTGCTTCAGTGTGTCGAGCTGGTGCAGAGACCTGTCCTAAGGGTTGACAAGAAGTTAACCGTGAATCACAGAATCCTTAAGATTGGAGGGGGCCTGTAGAGATCATCTAGTCCAACCCCCCTGCACACGCAGGGACACCCAGAGCACGGGGCACAGGGCTGCATCCAGATCTCCAGAGAAGGAGATTTCATGAGTCAGCTTCATGAGGCAGCAGTGCCCTCAAGAAGGCCAATGGGATCCTGGCTGCGTCAGGAGGATGTTGCCAGCAGGTCAAGGGAGGGGATCCTGCCCCTCTGCTCAGCTCTGGTGAGGCCGCACCTGGAGTATTGGGGGCAGTTCTGGGCTCCCCAGGACAAGAGGGACGTGGAGCTTCTCGAGAGGGTCCAGTGGAGGGCAACAAAGATGMTTAAGGGACTGGAGCATCTCTCGTATGAGGAGAGACCGAGTGAGCTGGGCCTGTTCAGCTTGGAGAAGAGAAGGCTGAGAGGGGATCTGATTAACATGTATAAGTTCGTGAAGGGGGAATGTAGGGAAGAAGGGGCCAAGCTCTTCTCAGTGGTGGCCAGTGACAGGACAAGGGGCAGTGGGTGTAAGTTGAAACCCAGGCAGTTCCATCTGCATGTGAGGAAGAACTTCCTGAGTGTGAGGGGGCAGAGCCCTGGAACAGGCTGCCCAGGGAGGCTGTGGAGTCTCCTTCTCTGGAGATCTTCCAAAGCCGCCTGGCTGCCACCCTGTGCCCCGTGCTCTGGGTGTCCCTGCTGGAGCAGGGGGTKGSACTGGGTGATCTCTAGAGGTCCCTTCCAACCTCAACCAGTCTGTGATTCTGTGAGATCACTGTGCAGAAGATACAGAGGATGTCACCTCATAGTAACTTAWAATGATGGTGACTTTAAATTGTAATGACAGACCTTTAGGGAGCTTTTTTCSCTCGCGTTGGTGCAGTATTTTAGCCCTGGCTCTGTAGCTTCCTTCTGTCTGTGCTTAATAACCACTAAGGCTGGCCCGACTTTTAAGCCTAGGCTGTATAGTATAAACCAATGATTTCACAATTAAGGAATTTGTGCTTCTATTTTATTATTTGATAGAACTCCCTGATGAATCCTGGCATGGACAGGACAGTGGGCCTGTAGCTTGTTACCAGTAGTAATAAAAGCACTCCTCACCTTGAATGTATTTCGAGAGCTTCACTTAGGCTTTGCAGGTTGTTTGCAGGGGAGGGTGTGTAATGTGCAGATGGATGCGTAATGTAAAGTACTTGGTTCACCGGAATTGTTTCCTGACGTTCTTGTGTGTTGCTTTCCCTGTCAAGGTAAAGGTATTGTGCCAAATAACGTAACCCGCCGGCCCAGCTTCGAGGGATCGAATGAATCTTTTCCGTCCTACCACCAGATGGGGAACGCCGCCTACGAAGGACCGGCCTTCGGAGCAGAGGGAGCGAACCTGCTCCCGGACGTCGCCAGGCCCTACCTGGACTACCTACTCCCTGCGTCGCAGCCCGCGGCCTTGGGCGCCGCCGTGCAGCGGGCCCCCGCTGTGGGCACCCCCACAAGCCACCAGCCAAAAACGTTCCCGGCCGGCGTGGAGCCCGCCGTGCTGCCCTACGCCGTGGGCAACGCCGGCAGCGCGGCCCTGCAGCTGCAGCCCCCGCACGGCTCCAGCAGCCCCCACTACGGCCGGCAGCACATGCTGGTGCAGGGGGAGCCCATGGGCTACGGCGTCCAGCGGAGCCCCTCCTTCCAGAACAAGATGCAGCAGGAGGGGGGATACTCCAACCTCCCAAGTAAGGGGGCCGTGGTTCAGAGTAACTCTGGTCATGCATTTCAGCAGGCGCCAGCGGGCCTGTACATGGCCCATTCTCACCACAAGCAGACGAGCCCTTCCTCTCACCCAATGCACGTGATGCCCAGAGGCCCRGCGTTCGCTAACGATTTTTCAGACAGTCCCCCACAGAATCTGATAACTCCGTCTAGAAATAGCCTCAATATGGACCTCTATGACATGAACAACCCTCAAGTTCAGCAGTGGCAGGCGGCCACCCCGTCGCGCCGGGATTCTTTGCAAAACCCGGGAATGGAAACGTCTCCACGGCAGCACGTATCCTTCCGGGCCGATGCTGCGGTGCCAAGCAGGACCAACTCCTTCAACAGCCACCAGCAGCAGCCACAAGTGACTGTGTCTATAAGACAGGTGCCTCCAGGCAAGGCCGACCCTGCCATTACATCTCCCAACACCATCACGGCGGTCACGTCTGCTCACATCCTGCAGCCCGTGAAGAGCATGCGGGTGATGAGACCCGAACCCCAGACCGCYGTGGGACCTTCCCATCCGGGCTGGCTGCCTGCCCAGGCCCCGGCCATGGATGGCTTGGAGATCATGGAGCAGCACGTCCCCRCTGTGGGAGCGACCGGCACCTACCAACTGGATGTGGATTACGGTACCCAGGAGCTGCGGTGTCCTCCGCCACCCTATCCCAAGCATCTCTTGCTGCCCGGGAGCCCTGAGCAGTTCGACATCAACTGCTTGTGCGTGGGTGTGGAGCAGACCCTGCGCGTCGCCCCACCGGGCTCCAAGGTGGAGGAGAGCTGTGAGCGCAGTGACAAGAGCAGCAAGACCCCCAAGGCTGACAAGGCAGGCAAGGAAAAAAAGCAGATTCAGACGTCGCCGGTGCCCGTGCGGAAAGGCGGCAAGGATGAGGAGAAGCGGGAATCCCGCATCAAGAGCTACTCGCCCTTTGCCTTCAAGTTCTACATGGAGCAGCACGTGGAGAACGTCATAAAGACCTACCAGCAAAAAATTAACAGGAGGCTGCAGTTGGAGCAAGAAATGGCCAAAGTAATTCTTGCTTTGTCGTGATAAAAGCTGACGGGGTCAGATTGATCGTTAGCGCTTTGAATCACCCCCGGAGGCTCCCCTGGAGCTTGTAGGTGCTCAGCTCCTCCCTTTGTGAGGCTGTTTTCAGTAAGAAGCCCGGGTACAGATTTTGGAGGCTCTTTGGAGAGTCTTAAGAAATGAAGTTATATAGCTTCATACCAAAAAAGTTAAACTTTTTGGTTAAAAAAACAAAAAATATTTTTTGGTTAAAAAGTTTAAAAAGTTAAATAAAGCAAAAAGCCTGGAAACTATTGCATTTGCYTAGGCAAGAACTCAGAAGTCAAGTCTGAGGCCATACTGACCCCACTGGCAACACTTCTGCAGCTCTTGCAAAACACTGAAATAGGGTTTCTCTTTCTTTCTGGTTCTTTTTGTCACTTCCACRATAGCAGCTCACTCACCAAACCCTGGTTTAGTTTGACAGCAGAGTCCTTGTGCCATCCTTTTAGGTGGAAGTGGAAGGGTGAACTTAGATGGACGTATCTCAACCAGCTTAAAATGATCTTGGAAGCCTTGCTAGAAGTGGGCCTAGAAGTTGGGCTTAGTGGGATGCACTTGGAGTGAGAGCTTCTTTCATCTCTAATCGTAGCCCTTCAGCCTAAGCTGATTCATTGATGGGGCTGCTTTAAAGCAAAGCTGCCAAGTCCTGATGATTGCTGGGGTAGTTGCAGACAAAAAATATGGTTTGTAGAACAAATACATTTCTAAAATCCGTTGAAAAGGGAGCAATTTTGTTATAGTTTATCATATGGCATGTACAGGGTAYGTCGCTTTGCTTGCATTTAGTGAATGCTTTCTTGAGATGGAGATAGGGAATGATCTGCAGAGAAGTAAATCAGCAACTAATTGCAGCAGTTCTTCTCTTTCCTGGCTCCCGGCTTTCCTTCACTCCATAACTCAGGGACAATTCCAGTGTAAACAAAAACAGCCCTTCCCTTAGCAACCTTGGCAYTAACCAGGGGAACACGCTACGAACTCAGGAGGTTTTGGCTATCTGATTGTCCCGTTATTCCAAAATTACCCGAGAAAACAGCACTGATTATTTTATCATAAAATAATAAAGGCTTCCTCCATTATTGRTTGATGTTCTCCTCTTACATTTAAAAAAAAAAATGGGACTTATTTTCATTTGGCTTTTGCCTTCAGTCTGCAAATTCATCCTGCCTGTTCTGCAGGTTTTCTCAGACCTCCTCAATCTTTCTTTTTTCATCTCGAATTTATTTTTATACTACTATATGTGTAGGTGTAAGTTGGTTTAAACTAAGCCATACACAAAGTGCCTGTACGACGGGTTGCAGGGCAAAGGGCCCTTTGGAGAGGTGCACTCGAACCCCTGGGTCAGTCCTGTGGTGCTTCCCTCCCTGAGGATCCTGCCCTTGGCCTGTCTCACGCACAGCACAGTCGGTAACAAGCTGCTTGCAGTGATTCTGCAGGCGTCTGAGAAGTATCTTTGCAGACAGAAGGGAGAAGGTGTCTTGCATGAATGCATCTTTTCTGGGTTTGGGGAAATTTTTCATAGTAATTTCTTACTATGAAAAGCTGCTTACTATTTCTTACTTCAGCATTCTGCTTTGGAAATGCTACTTGATTGTTCTTATGCAATGAATGTAACCACGAGCTCTTGTGGTTTGTTTTCACTCCRTTAAGGCTGGCCTTTGTGAAGCAGAACAGGAACAAATGAGGAAAATCCTCTACCAAAAGGAGTCCAACTACAACAGGCTTAAGAGGGCCAAAATGGACAAATCCATGTTTGTGAAAATCAAGACTCTGGGCATCGGCGCGTTCGGAGAAGTGTGCCTGGCCTGCAAGGTGGACACCCACGCCCTGTATGCCATGAAAACCCTGCGCAAGAAGGACGTGCTGAACCGCAACCAGGTGGCCCACGTCAAGGCAGAAAGGGACATCCTTGCCGAGGCCGACAACGAGTGGGTGGTGAAGCTCTACTATTCCTTCCAGGATAAAGAGAACTTGTACTTTGTGATGGACTACATCCCTGGTGGGGACATGATGAGCCTGCTCATCCGCATGGAGGTCTTCCCGGAGCGCCTGGCCAGGTTTTATATTGCCGAGCTCACTTTGGCTATAGAGAGCGTGCACAAAATGGGCTTTATTCACCGAGACATCAAGCCTGACAATATCCTCATCGACCTGGATGGACATATCAAACTGACCGACTTCGGGCTGTGTACTGGGTTCAGGTGGACTCACAATTCCAAATACTATCAGAAAGGTAGCGTGGGGGGGCTCTCTTTGGCATGGGGTTGAGTAGGTGGCACTGAGACAGAGTGGTCCCTACTGGGAGAAATGGCTTCTGGTGCTTYGTTTCTCCTCCTGCTTAAATCCTCCCCAAGCATTGGGCTGGTTGAGGCAGGAGCTGCAGTTTCTCAGCTCATAGCTGTGTGGAGGGGCTCTGTGAGGGTGAAATAACTTGACTGCAGGTTTAAAGTAATCCTGGCAGCTCCTGTGCGTGCCACGGAGGAGCGTTGGAGCAGGCTGGCACAAAGGCCACGAATGGTTGATGTAACGAACCCATGAAACGTGGGCTCGGGCTCTGCATCTCCCAGTGGGAAGGTGCTTCCCTGGGCCAAGACAGAGACGTTTTGCTGCTTATGGAAAATCAAATGTGAAGGGGAGGGAAAGAGTAAATGCCTCAGGTTTGAAGCTTAATCACAGAACTAGATCTATTTGTTTCTCTGTTTGGTGTGCCTGATAACTATGAATGTAAATTTTCTTTGCCTTTTGAAAGGGAGCCATATCAGACAGGACAGCATGGAGCCCAGCGATCTTTGGGATGATGTCTCCAACTGCAGATGTGGAGACAGGCTCAAGACATTGGAACAACGAGCTAAGAAGCAGCATCAGAGATGCCTAGCGCACTCCTTAGTTGGCACTCCTAATTATATTGCTCCTGAAGTCCTGCTTCGGAAAGGTAGATGTGAAAACTGTTTTTCTCTTGTGTAAATAAGCAGTGACGCTTTGAAATAACTTTTATTATTGTTGTTATTATTTCCCCCTTTAAAGCTCAGTTTTTTGGAAAGTTGTCATTCTGCACTATACAAGCAACTCAAAGAGCAAATCCCTCTGTGTGGTATTTCTCAAATATAAAGCAGATAATCTTTGCTCCTGAAATACAACTCTGGCCACTAGTGATTTTATGCAGACTGGTACATTGGCAGCTTCTGATTGTGAATCAGTGGTTCAGACAAGCCACTTGAATGTGGATGATGCTGACTTGTGGAAGTGTTTCCTCCAGGTTGCCAGCTGGACTCTGTGGGTAATCCCAAAGAGTTGCAGAATCACAGACTGGTTGATGTTGGAAGGAACCTCTAGAGATCACCCTGTCCCACCCCCTGCTCCAGCAGGGACACCCAGAGCACGGGGCACAGGGTGGCAGCCAGGCGGGTTGGGAAGATCTCCAGAGAAGGAGACTCCACAGCCTCCCTGGGCAGCCTATGCCAGGGCTCTGGACCCTCACAGTCAAGAAGTTCCTCCTCACATGCAGATGGAACTGCCTGGGTTTCAACTTACCCCCATCTCCCGCAGTTTCCATCCTGTGCTCAGAATTTCACCGTGGGGAACTTGGGCAGTAGCGGGTGCCCGTGTCTGCAGAACAGCCTCCATCACTGAGTCTTGTAGGGCAGARATCAGATGCTCACAGTTAATCAGCAGCCCTGGACTCCTCCTGAATTCAGGAGATATTATTCCCAAATCATCTGATGACACAAATCTCCATTTAAATCAGCGTTTAAGTCTTCCAGGGCTTGTGTAGGTCTCACACATGCACCTTATTTGTCTTGTCTCACCAGATAAGTGGTTGAAGATGCTTCTCTGTATGGGAGTTGCTCAGAAAGTCTTCCCTGGTTTTATCCTGTCCCTAAAGCCAGGCAATGTCTTTGAGCAGTGTCTCAAACCCTTGGTGTCACCTCCTCCAAACCAGGGATACAGCAGTCAGTCATTTTGCTGTTCTTGGAGGGCCAGGTTATTGCTATAGTTGAATTTAGATAAGGGAGCAGAAGGCACTTTTTTGAGTGAAGATGAGGTCCTTTTTTTTAGGTCACAAATTGTTTGAGAAAAGACAGAAACCTGTGCCCTGTGTTCTGATATTTAACTGCGAGAAGAGACCACAGCTTTCAATGTGCTCTCCTTGCTTAGTGAGTGACCGCCTGTTCTCCTGCCTTTAAGGATACACTCAGCTTTGTGACTGGTGGAGCGTTGGTGTCATCCTCTTCGAGATGCTAGTGGGGCAGCCTCCTTTTCTGGCTCCTACACCCACAGAAACCCAACTGAAGGTAAGCTGAAGCAAAAATTGTCTCCTATAGGGAAGCACTGACCTTTCCTTCCCCTATGTACAGACCAGTCCCTATCTCTTTTACCAGAATAAGGTACAATGGTTACAAAGACCTGATTTTTCCCGGTTCTGTTCAGGGACAAATCCTTTCCTATCCAGTGAAGCCARACCAGAACTGCCCACCCCAGACGTATCCAGCAGCACAGGGGTGTTTTAGCCTCCTGAGTCTTCTCAGCGCAGCTCTGGTTTCTCAAGCACGAGGTCACCTCTCCAACCTCTTTAGGTGCTCATCAGATTTTAGTAGCCTCCTAGGGCAGCAGGAATCTCATTTGGCAGCGTGGGAGTTTCAAAGTTGAGCAGTACTTCTGTGTTAGAAAGAATGGGTGTCATGCCCACTTTCACTAGTCCATGTTTTCAAGGCAAAATTAAGAAATGTCAGTAATTTTTAAACTGAATGGGTTCTCTGATCAGACCACGGCACTACTCAAGAGGGAATTCACACTTTCTAAAATAGATTTGCTGCTTTTGTCTCCTACCCGTCAGTGTTTCTTGATTCACTAAGGATAGCTCATGCAATCTAACCACTGGATTTTTGAGCATCTGAAATAAATATCCAGCCTGGGACTTGACTAGGTACGTGTGTTAATGTCGGCAATCAGAAAAACTGTTTGGGGAATTGGAAGTTGCTAAATGTCCTTCTGCTCCTCAGGTGATAAACTGGGAGAGCACGTTGCACATTCCCTCGCAGATCAAGCTGAGCCCCGAGGCGACCGACCTCATCACAAAGCTCTGCTGCGCTGCCGAGGACAGGCTGGGGCGAAACGGGGCGGACGACATCAAGGCTCATTCTTTCTTTCACTCCATGGACTTCTCTACGGATATCCGGAGGCAGCCAGCTCCCTACGTTCCCAAGATCAGCCATCCGATGGACACGTCCAACTTCGATCCGGTTGAAGAGGAGAGCCCTTGGAGCGAGGCCAGCGGTGACAGCGCGCGCACGTGGGATCCCTTGGCCTCGTCCCTTGGCAAGCACACGGAACACGCCTTCTACGAGTTCACTTTCCGCAGGTTCTTCGATGACAACGGGTACCCCTTCAGGTACCCCAAACCTTCCGGCGTGGAAGGCGGCCAGCCCGACAAATCCGAGGCGGAAAACAAGGATCTGGTGGAGCAGACTGGAGCCTGTCAGCCTGTATATGTGTAAATTATTGTATAGAGTACTCCGGATAGGCCCCATCTCCAATCCAGAAGGGCCTTCAACTGATCCTTTAGGGTCTGATCCTGCAACCCGTGTTCGGGGGTTAACGTTTTCATGAAGCCATCGTGGGGGGGTGACATTTTGCAGGGCCAGGGCCTCAGATTGGCCCTCTTGGAAGTTCAGGTCAGTTTTACTGTAAATAACTGTTGATAACTACACTTGAAATGCTGGTCTGCACCAAAATCTGCAGGAYCAGCAGCCTGTCATTTCTAGGCCCGTCTCTGTTGGAGTTTCAGCGTCCCCCTACTCTGGTTCACATTTACAGACTTCTGCAACGGTCAGCGTTATTTTTTAAATGAATAAAGAGCACTTATATTTTGTTTATAGCAGGGTTTTTTTTCTCCTACTAAATTATAGCGATTAACTTTGACAAATCATGCTGCTGTTCTTCTTTTCTACATTTTTATTTTATCCATAGCACTTATTTCACATTTAGGAAGATGCGTAAAGCTGAAGAACATGTGATGAAAGGTCTCTGTGCAATAATGTAAGAAAGAAAAAGAAAAAAGAAGAAAAAAGACAAAAAAAAAGGAAACTCTGCTCTCTAATTCCCTGAATTTGCTGGTGCCATTGTATTCACACCGTGGTTTGTTTCTGTTGTTACTCTGTATTTTCCACATTTCAAAATTGTGACATACCCTGAAAGCTGCTTTATTTCCTTCCGCTTATTGGAGTGTATTAGCAAGCGTGAGCAAGTGCCAATTTGGGTGTGCTATTTCCTTGTCTAGCGTGTGAAGGATGTTGCATGAGCAGTGGTTTTCTCTTGGAAATGGCCTTTTTCTTGCCCTTCCCAGGCAGGTCCTGCGGATCCGTTTTTCCTAAGGGTCTCAAGGTAGACCGGTGTAAGCAGTGTGCTGATAATGTAGCGTGTGGGTGGTTTCCTCTTCCRACTGTATCCAATATTCATTGTCTGCAACAGGCTGCCGACGTTGTGCCCAACACCCGCCTGGCAGGACAGGCTGCCCCAGCTGTAGCTGGTGAGCTGGGTTGTGCCGGGAGAGCCTACGGAGCGGCCGGCGCCTCCGGGACCGGATGCCCAACTGGATGCCCGCCGGGAAGGCCCCAGGGCAGGTGGGTCTGCCCTTGCAYTGGGTGGATCCCATTGGATCCCATAGGGATCCAGGGTATCGATGCTATAGGCACCGACAGCAGGAATTGCTCCAAAGTTCCTCTGTCCTGTTGTCTCTTTCGGTTAAAATGTTGCTGTGATGGAGCACGATCCTCCTTCGTTTCTGTCCAATTAACAGACAAACTCTGAAATATCAGTTCTTAACTACATTGAAATACACATTTTTCTTCTATGTATAAGTGAAAATTATTCAAAGTGTTATCAGAATACTAAAGATAATTAAGCCATACATATTTGCATATATATTATATATAACTAAATAAGTAAACACACACAAAAATCCTTAATTCAGATTAGTGTAGCCGTCCTATTTAAAGTGATTGACATTATAACATTTGAGGAAAACACTCCTTTAATGTGTTTTTGCCTATTTTATTTTTAAATCTGGAGCTTCATTACTTTTTTTTTTCCATGTATTATTCCACATATTATTCCTTAACGTTTTAGCATATCCTATCCTATCCATTGTTTAGCTATCTAAGCAACAACATATAAATTCGTCAGCCTAACCTAAAGAAAAATGTTTGTGTATTTTGTTTACATTTGTATGAAAGGAATGTTCTGGGGTATGCAGTGCTTGTGTTGTGACCATTCATGTAAGATTCAGTATTACTGCTTTTTTATATATAGTAATGCCATTTTTTTGTCGTTGTTATTTACATCTATCTGACATTCTTTCATGTGGTAGGTTCTTTCTCAGGAACTCCGTTTAACTGTTATTTATTGATATATCATTGCCTTTGAAAGCTTTTACTGGCACAATTTATTAAAAATCTGAACCGAAATCCAAAATATTGCGTGTTCTTGACCAGCAACAGCCCTGCCTGCCCCGGGGGGGCGGGTTGTAACCTTAGGGGTTGGTTTGGGGAGCGCAAGGCGCCGACCTTCCCTCTCCCATCGTGTGGGGCAGGGCCTGGGGTGTCCGGGCGGTCTCTTCCCTGGGCCCCAGGGGCTGCAGGGCATTCCCAGCCCACACATGACGAGGAACTCGACGCTATCACATCCCTGGGGATGGTGCCGGTTGGAGGGGACAGGGTCGCATCCCTGGGGATGGCAGCGGTCGGAGGGCGCCCTGGCTCCGGGCGCAGAGCCGGTTTTGGAGCCTGAGGAGCTGCCCTGCAGCTGCCGGGACAGCACCGTTGGGCACGAGCAAGAGCAGGAGCTTCCACAAGGGACTCGTTGCCCATTTAAAGCCTGTGCTGTGAGGGACAAGACCCAGCTCCCATTTCACCTAAAGAAAAACGGCGTTGGAAAAACATCGCTTTTTTCAGCGTATGTGGCACTGCCTGTTGGAGGCTCCCATCCCCTTCACACATCTCAGGAGTAAACAGAAACTGGAGGAGATTTTAGGGAGCGTGGCCAGGTTGCCAATGTGCCGTGTGCTAGGACTGGCTCTGAGCATTCTCAGCTCCAGCTCTCAGGAATTTCCCAAAAAAACACCACTTTTCAGTAAGTTGTAAGAATTCCATGTTCATTAAGGGCTTTTAAAGACAGAGCCCGACGTGCAGCTATCCCCAATTCCAAGCAGGAATGTGTCACTAGTTCCAGTGTCATTAGTTGTGGCTAAGGTGCCGCTCCGGCTGCACTGCGAGGTCAGCAGTGAAGCCGGCGGGCTCGCAGGGATGCGGATTTCACAGATCCCATTCCTGGCTTTCCGCAGGGGCCCGTGCCAACAGCAGTGATTCCTGCTGCAAACGGCTCTCAGAAGGCTGAAGGGAGCGGATTTCTCAGCGTTGCGGCCTCGCAGAGCAGCACTGACGGCGCCACAAACAGAAGGGGCTTTCGCAGCCTCTCGCATCCATCASTGTGGCCGAATTTGCCCAGGAGCAGCAACAATTCTGCACAGGCAATTTTTTTATTCCTAATTCAATGCAGAAGTCATAAATGGGCACCTAGCTTGAGTAACATGAAATGAGGGCGAAAAGCATTGGACTTTTAAATGGAGATGGAGGGATGAAATGAACGGCAGGAAGCCAGGCCCTGGCCTGGAACGCGGTGGAAAATCACCCCGTAAACTTAGGAGGTTTCTGCTCTCTTCCCTGTCGCTGAGGAGGTAGGAAATAACTGCCTTAAAACCCTCCTGGAGGAACTGCGGTGAAAAGGGGGATTTAGAACAAGTAATTGGGTCCTATCCCAAAATACAGGAACACTGGCAGAAAAGAGCAACTGTTACTAAAAATACTACTGGAATTAAAAGTATTGAGTCTTTCCCACAGGAAATAATCTCAAGAACAGATAATGTCGGAAGAGCAACATTCAAGCACACGCACACAGAAGCGTGAAGATGTTTTTCCTGGCAAAGGGAGCCGGGCAGGAGGGACCAGGGGCTGCGCGTGCCCTGGCCGCGGCCCCAGCGCTGCCTGCACCAAGCGCCTCCTGGGCTCGTTCTAGCAAAGTAAAGCCGGACTCTGACCGCAGCCCGGCGGAGCCGCACGGAGCCCGGCCACACGGAGGCCGGGACKCAGGGTTTCCACACAGAAACCCCCGCGGTGGGAAGGGGCCCTGCTCTCCACGTGGCAAGATGAGAAGAAGCTGCACGTGTGCCCTGTAGTTCCAGAGCTGCGAAGGACAGGAGCCTCCRGGGAGGAAAAGAGCCGTTGTGGAGGAAAGGAGCCTTCATGGAGGATAAGAGTCTCTGTGGAGGAAAGGATCCTCTCTGGAGGACAGGAGCTTCAATGGAGGAAAGGAGTCTCTGTGGAAAAAAGGAGCCTCCATGAAGGAAAGGAGCCTTCATGGGGGACAGGAGCCTCAATGAAGGAAAGGAGCCTCCGTGGAGGACAGGAGCCTCAATGAAGGAAAGGAGCCTCCGTGGAGGACAGGAGCCTCCATAGAGGAAAGGAGTGTCCGTGGAAAAAAGGTGCCTCCGTGAAGGAAAGGAGCCTCCATGGAGGACAGGAGCCTCCATAGAGGAAAGGAGTCTCCATGGAAAAAAGGTGCCTCCGTGAAGGAAAGGAGCCTCCATGGAGGACAGGAGCCTCCATGAAGGAAAGGAGGCTCTGTGGAGGACAGGACCCTCCATAGAGGAAAGGAGTCTCCGTGGAAGAAAGGAGCCTCCATGAAAGAAAGGAGCCTTCATGGAGGACAGGAGCCTCAATGAAGGAAAGGAGCCTCTGAGGAGGACAGGAGCCTCCGTGGAGGACAGGAGCCTCCATAGAGGAAAGGAGTCTCCGTGGAAAAAAGGTGCCTCCGTGAAGGAAAGGAGCCTCCATGGAGGAGAGCGGCCTCTGCGATCCAGGCCGGTCTTGGTCCGGAGGCCCCGGAGGTCACCGTAGGAGGYCCGGAGGCCCAGGGCAGCCACCAGCACRAGGCCCCTCAGCAGGTGCCGTGGGGACCCTGCCCTTCCCCACCGGGGTCCCGCTCCCGCCCAGCGCCGCCTCTCGGCCCGTCCCGCCGGCGGCACCGGGTGCTCTGCCCCGAGGAGCTCYGTATCGCAGCAGTTATTTAAATCCAAGCAGAATGTCCCCAAGGAAAGGAGCCTTCCGGTTCCCAGGGATCCATCCGGTGGGGACAGCGTCTTGTCCTCGGGCAGCTCCATCTGTGTCACCGCACGCCAGGGCGCCAGGGCAGAAAGCAAGCGGCGGGTCCAAACGGGCGCTCGCTTTGCCCAAAGAGAGCGTTTTGCACAGGAAAATGTTGGCTTGACAAAACGGAAATATTTCTGGGGGAACTCACTGGTTTATTTATAATTATCCTTGAAAAAAAAAAAAGAGAGAAAAATACTGGTTTCAAAAAAAATCAAAGTAAATAATAATAATTTTTAAAAAGAGTAATGTAAAGGCCAAGGCTTATATATTCATTGTCCGTGTCACATTACATTCAAAACAATAAAAATTAGGATGAAGTGCTGTGAATAGGTCACTCTGATGTTTCTGAAGCAGATTTTGGAAATACAATTTCTTGGTAATTTCCGACTGTTTATTCCAATTTAGGCCTGAGGAATTTTTCTGTAACGTTGAGTTTCCCACATAATAGGACAATGTGCCAATTTAAACCAGCTCTAAGAGTAACAAAAGAGGCTGAGCAAATGGGAGCAGCACTGGGAAGAAAAGGCCAGTGCCGGAGGCACCTCCTGGGCTGCAGGATCCCGACGGATGCACGTTTGGAGAGATGCACCTGCATTTTGCTGCTGCTCTTTTCCATATGGGCTGATTTGCCCAGGCCTGATTTGCGGCTCTTTGGAGTGCAAGGTGATAATCCAGACATTGGGATAGGAAAGCGTTTCGGGGGGCTGAGCTTAGGGCAGGCTGGGCTACAGCCACGAGCAGGCGGGTGGAGGAGAAAGACCGATGCAAGGGGAGGCTCTGGCGCGTGGGATGTCCCCTCTGGATGGGAACCTCGTGGTGTCTTGGGAAGAGCAGCAGGGGTGACAAGGATGCRAGCAGCGGGTGCAGGCTGGAACGTTGCATCTGGGCCGCAGCGAAGGAGCCAACAACAACCACTGAGCTCCGGGAATGGGGGGACCTTCCCACTGCAGCTCCTGGGGAGGTTGTGGCTGTTCCGGTGCATCTAAAATCACTTTGCAGTCAAATAGTCAACTTAAATGAGTAACCACCTAACCCTCACACAGCGTTTCGTCATCTCTTTGTTGTGAATCTAAATCACAGAATCACAGGAGGGTTGAGGCTGGAAGGGACCTCTAGMGATCACCCAGTCCAACCCCTGCTCCAGCAGGGAACCCAGAGCAYGGGGCACAGGGTGGCAGCCAGGCGGGTTGGGAAGATCTCCAGAGRAGGAGACTCCACAGCCTCCCTGGGCAGCCTGTGCCAGGGCTCTGGTACCCTCACAGKMAGGRAGYTCTTCCTCACATGGAGATGGAACTGCCTGGGTTTCAACTTG